AGGTTAGTATCGACCATGCTGATGGAAAGCAAAAAATGTTCTCTAAGACAATTAAAAGTGAGCAGTTTTATTTTGGTGACATTAAAATTAAAAAGCAATTTCTTACCCCAGTTAACAGATTGTAGGTCATTTTTTTTTAGATCAGCTGCTAATATGACATTACTGAATCAATCAGACTTACTATTAAGATTAGAGTAAATATTTTTTGGCATCAGCATAGATAACAATTTGAGAACTGATGACATGGAGAAGGCCATTGATGAAAATTAGAAACATAGGTCCAGGCATAGAGCCCTGAGGATACCTGCATTAATGCAAAGAGATCTAGAAGAGTGGCTATTCAAGACCACTTTCATTTCACAATTTGATAAAAAAAATTGAATCAGATCAAAAATTCATCCAAAAATACTACAACCTTTGAACTTGTGAGAAAGATCAGTATGCCAAAACCCTGTCAAATAGCTTTCAGATGTCCAAAACAGCAGCTCAAGTTTAACAATTCTTATTTAAAGTTAGACTTCTTTCAGCACTAACCATTAACACATCAGCAATTAACCTAGAAAAGTGAAAGCTGCATTGCTTATCTGAAAGATCTTATGTGAGATGCTTAACCAATTCACAGTTGATTAGAGTCTCTAGTACTTTGCCAAAAAGTGGTAGAAGGCTAATAGGCCAATAGTAGGATCAGACCGTCCACCTGCATTCTTAAGGACTGAAATTACAGAAGAGGATTTTTCAACAATTAAGAAAGAAAGCAGCAAGGCATTTATTATATAGTTTAGAGAGAACAAAAGCCAGTTCAGAAGCACATTTCTTAAAAACTATTGCAGAGGTACCATCACCTCCATATATTTTTTGGAGATCTAGTTGAGATGTTAGCAGAAACCATGGAGAAAGTTATAGGTATATCACTCAATAGAGACTCGGTTCCAAGAGGAAAGTCAGGCAAAGATGTGTCAAGAGTAGAATTGGATGAGAATTTATGAGCTAAACATTCTGCTTTATTAGCAGAAGATAATAACACCTTAAATTTGAGTGAAGAGAGAAGGGATAGAAGACTTACTCCTATTTAACACACTATTACAGAGCTGCAAGTGGTCATGAAAACCAAACTTGTTAGAGGCTATAGGTGCCTCATTCTGTCAAAGTAATATACAGTGTGTCTCCCTCCAAAAAACTTGGCATCATTTAAAATGTGAATAACTGAGTAACTACATGTTCCAGGCAAACAAAATTAAATAGGCTTCAGGTTGAACAATGAAAGATTTCTTTATCAAAATTCAAACAAGATATTCAAAGGGATGTAGATTTTATAACCGATTTCACAAAGCTTCACGATTGTTCAATATGCGCACCATCTGTGATACTACACATGTCAAGTCAGTCGTCTAGCTCCTGTCAAACTCGCTGTAGCATGTTTTGCATAACATTCTCCAGCATCTCAGTGATTCTCTGCTTAATTTCCCTTATACTTGTAGAAAGAGGGGTGATACAGACCTGTGCTTTTAATAGCTCTATAGAAAAAAAAAAATCACAAGTTGTCATCTATCAGGTGAACGTGGTGGCTATATCAACAGTACATTGTCATTATCACTGGTATGTCTGATCCATCTTTCTGGTAGATTTTAATCGAGATAAGTACTGAAGAATGCTATGCAAGACATACTACAGCATGTTTGGCAGGAGCTGGACTACCAACTTAATGTGTGTGGTGTCACAGGTGGTGCGCATATTGAAGATTTATGAAATTGGTTATAAAATCTATATCCCTCTGAATATCATGTTTGAATTTTGATAAATTTTTTATTGTTCAACATGAAGCCTATTTAATTTTGTTTCCTGGGACATGTAGCTACTCAGGTATTCACATTTTAAATGATGTCAATTTTGAGGGGAAACCCTGTATATCTGAATCTGTTTAAGCTAAAAAAAATCATACAGACATCATTTTTTGTTTGATGAAGTGAGGTATAAAGTATTATTAAATAGGCAGTGACTTTATTCGTTTTAAAACCTAATTTGCACTCTTTTCTTTGTACAGTCAATAAATTCCTTCCTTCATGTTTCTATGCAATTTACAATTGTCACTATTTAACAATGACATATACATTTTTATCAGTAGATAAAATCTTGACCTGATTTGAGAAATTATTTTCAACACCAGCCAATCATTACACAAGATTTTTCATGTTCTGCACAAACAAGCTGTTTAAATTTATGTTTAGTACACATAAAACATAATTTTTCTGTGCTTTAATCAATAAATGAAATATATTTTGACTCTTTAATTTAGCTTCATCAATAGTTTTAAGGTTTTTCACTTGTGAATTACAGATATATTACCCGATTTTTGCCTACAGTGTTCAATTTCAAAGATTCCAAAAGTTTTTCTTTCAATCTAATGCACAAATAAAGTCATCTGGTGTAATATTAGTGCAATCAAAATGCTGCTATCATTTTTGTATTTTTCTAAGAGAAACAAGTGCCACTTGTGGGTCAAAGAGTGTGAGGCATTTAAGTTAAAGGATGTTGTAACCTAGAAAAGATTACTGAATGAAGAATAACTAAAACAGAGGTTGGAAATGAAATGGTAATCTTTATAACATCAACCAAATACAATACCCACCAGTGGTGTGAAGTAGGTAAACCACTGCTAGTGGTGGACTACTTAGACAGCATATTACCACCACTTACAATAGAGACCAACATATTTATGAGGATTGGGGCATACCCATTAGTGTTCATATGTACAGTCAGTATATGACAAAGGGAATGTACACATCAGATGAAAGGTCTTGATTAATTTCATGCCCCACTAAGCAATGGCGGAAGAGAGTCCCCAAGAAGCAAAAAAAAAGTCTCATTTTGTTTATTCATCCCCACAAAATACAAAACACTCCTCCCTAAATCCTTGTCCTTATGTGGTCAGCTATGAAATGAGTGATCAACAGTTTAATATTTCATTCAAACATTTGAAAGTGGTGACAGATGATAAGACAGATAATAGCCATTAAGAAAATTAAAAACCCTTTCACATGACTACAAGAAAATTATCTACATTAATATACTTCTCTTCTCAGAGAATCTCTTTGTACAGGCTTCTATTTTTGTAATTTAATTATCAATACAAAACAGTATGAAACCACTATCAATAATAGTATATAGTAAATTGAGTCGACAATATGTACATGTATTAAATAAAGTGCCACAATATGTTAAAAAAACAATAGAAATTGATATAAATAAAGAAGCTAAACAACATGAATATCACCAATGACGAAATAAAATAATAAAAACCTAAGATTCACAATCAATATAATCCTAATCCTATATAATCACTTTTTCCACCATGATGTTCACTTATCATCCAGCTCACACTCCTCTCTTGTTTTTTGAACAGGAGTAGAGGTTTATCCTTTGTTCCCTGTTTAAGATTTAGTTTCCAATTCCTTGGAAAGTCTTTTCATTCTCTTTCGCTCCCAATTGCCATGCTTGTAGTGAACTGATTTGGAAAAAAAAATGAAAGAAGATGGACTTTGTAAATTATTGTTAAAAGTGAAATATTTGCTTCTACCTTAAATAAAGCTTGTTTTATGCTAAATAACACTTTCCAAAAGAGTAATTGGTCATTACAAGATAACAAATAGAATAGTAAAATTATCCATGGTGAATGTTAGGATTTATTTTTAAAACTGATATAAATAAATGGTGTTTGTTTAATTGCAAGTTGGTCACTCTCTCAAAGAGACAATAGCAGACATTTTGTTCAATCTTGAGAATTGAAAGCATTTAAATCAAGTGCCAATAGAATGATTTGCTCTGAAACACTTGCTAGTTCCATCCACTATGAGACAACTTTCTATTTGTTAATATTTCGTCAAGAATTCTGAACACAGTACTTTTTCAAAGCAAATCTTTATTTTGCTTATAAATATTTCATGAGCATGAAGAGGTTTTGTCAACCATAATAATGATACTTGATCAGACAACCAAAACAATTTTTATTCTTAGTGTATAATAAATCTTTGCTATCTCAATAGTTAATGGCTACCACATTGCTTTATATAAATGACTAAAAACACCAACTCATCTGTTAGACAAAGATAAAGAATGAGCCTCTGATGGACCAACATCAAGCAATATCAAAAGTGTGAGAGGGGAATAAAATTACATCCAGACAATTTCTCTTGCTAATAGTAATAGCTGTTTTTGGTTGTTAACTCAGGCTACTTGCTGTATGGTACACAAATACATGCAGTAAAAATTTATACAAGAAAAAAAATCTCACTTTTTAACCAGGATTTCTTAATGATAACACTAGAAAAAAAATTTAAGTGAAATGAAATTATTGCTGGCAGCTCTAACCTGATTAAAAGATCTAACAAAGCCTCACTGCTATTAGATTATGTTGAAATGCATAATTTTCAGTTCATTTCTCACAGCTGTTATAAGCAAAACAAATTAAGAACCCAAAGGATATAATGATTTTATTAAACTTAATTTGCAAACAATCTACAAAAAAGAGTCACTTGAAGAGCTGCAAAGATAAGACAAGCATTTACACCCTTTATAATAAATACTGAAACCAAATGAATTATAATTTTTTTTAACCAGTTTTATACTGTTTATTCTTGCAATCATTCTTATAGAAAAATCATATTTTATGATAACTGTATGTAGCCAGTTTAAGTTTTTGTAAAGCAAATCAAACACAGGCTAATTGTTAAGACACTCTAGGAATATTGTACATGATTTTGAGATCATTTTTATTTATATAACTGCACTGATGAGATTTTTTTTCTCCTATAGAACTTGAACACTGGACAAACATTACCTGTGTAGTGATACCTAATAACAATTGAAACAAATGAGATAACCAAAGTATCCACCAACAAAAGAGAAAAGTTTTTATAATTCATAATTCGTTTTAACATATTCATTTTTTTTAATCAAACAGGTTAAAAATAAAAATAAAAAAAAAAGTGGGGAAGAAAATATACCTGATTCAGATTGTTTTCTGTAAGGTTCCAACAAACGATTCTTTTTCTTTTCATATCCCTTCTGAGTAATGTCACCTGAAAAATAGAAAAGAAAATTAAGTAAAACAAGGAATGTATAAATAAACAAAGTCAATAAAGGATAACATGACTGCCATCCCAATCTCACATAATAGTAAAGGCTGATTTAACCTTCAGCAACAGCCAGTTTATCATTAGATGACATGTACACAATGAAGAAAGAGAAAATTATTGAATCAGAGACTCATTTATGTTATTGTTTTAATTACAAGTAACAGTTTTTGAAAAGTATACGTGGTAGAAGTAGAAATGAGATGATTATATTAAAAAAAATAATAGTGCTAGTCAAACAACTTCACATATGAAACTGAATGCAGCATATTACAAAGTCAATATCTTAATGTGATTAAATATATTTTTACATCAATTAAAACATTTAACTTCTAAAAAGAGGTTTCAATGCTTTACACCAATTCAGCTATTTCAAGAGATTTTAATTAACTGCTTAACAATTTTTATTCCTTGTTTTTTTTCTTTTATCAATTACCATATGTATATATGATTGATCATTATGAAAGTTGATAATGAACTGTCTTACCATCTCAGCTACTGCCCGAGATGGTAAGACAATTACAGAAGGACAGTTGTTTACTTTTTTTCTGTGTCAACTGTCAAATCATTTTATCAAATTATCTGTTGATGGAAAATTGTACAGGGAAAAATGGTTTCAAGCCTTTTACAAAGATATTGAAAAAAAAAGAAAAAAAGGGAACAGAATTAGCCTCAGTTAAAAGTTACAGATTACATTTCTTAGTGCTGATAACTTGTCTGACTCCACATACCATATGCATGCACAACATTCCAATTTGTATTGTACATGTAATAAAAAGAAATCAAGCAAGAAAGTGTGCAATCTATTTGAAAATGGAAATTATAAACATATGTGCTTATAGGCTGTTAAATGAAATCTACCTTCAAACAAGTACTGATAAGGATGCCAGAGTCAGAACAACAATTTCAGCTACAGTACCCACTTGTCAAAATTGGTGAGTACAAAGGTAGCAGTGTACTCAGAACACTTAAAATTTATAACAAGAGAGGACAAAAAATCCCATATAAAAGATTGCCTATTAGTGCAAGTATGCTTAAACTAGAAAAGTATTAAAAATATACCAACTAAGAAATTTGTCAAATATACAAGTGAAAGAATAAATTCAAAAACAAAAATTATAGTCAGTAATATGATCAGGCCATGCTAATTTAGAATGTATTGCTTCTTGAGATGTAGGCCAAGTAAAAGAAGATTCTTTAAATTCTATTTTGAATATTTCTTTAAATCAAGGTTCAATTTAAACATTTTTGCAAACAAGTTAAATATAATTAAATCAATCACACACATATAATTTTTTTTATTTTTTTTTAAATCAGTACCACTCCATGTAAGACAGTAAAGCCACTAAAACAAGGGGTTACAGGGTGTGGAAGAATTAGGTACAGAAACATTAATTTAATGAGTGGGAAGAGAAAAGAGTAATCAGGAGGACAGGAGATAGTGATTGATATTGCATTTAAATTTTTACCAATTAAAGTTGGCTGGAAAGCATTGAGGCAGAAGGGGGCTCCACAAGTGAGAAATGCAATTTAAAAAAAAAAAACTGTCAATATAGAATTTATGGATATATCTAGTCAGCACAACTGTAAATTGAAGGGATCTTGATGTCAGTCTGGCACTGCACTAAAATTTAAAAGTTTAGGTACCATATCAAGGAGCTCATCTGAAAGTATTTATAGAAAAGACAGAGGCAACCTTATGGCAATGAGAAAGTGATTGAAGAATATTGCTGATTCTTCCTTGGTTTTTATCAAGGAGCTCAAGGCAAATAGCAGGGGCACTGGACCATATGTAACAACAATATTCTAAGTATGAGCGAATGGTAGACATGCGCACGTGCACACACAATTTTTTAAAACTGAAAAAATTTACTTACAGTAAATACCCATTTTTTAATTATTTTTATTCATCTCCCAACTACATAGTTTTTTGGTTCATGCTCACTTTTCAAGGGTTAAAATGTTTTTTAAATAATTTTTTTTTTTACTCTGTTAGTGACTTTTTAAAAAAATTTAATCTAATATATATATATATATATATTGTGTGTAGCCTCTGTCTGTTTATCAAACTCCTCCTAGGGCTTTGGAGATAGACCCCATAACCATATATATATTCTGAAACTATATTTATTACCCAGGGTACTTGGATAAGTATATTTTATTTTGATCAAAGGGAGTACCCTACCTCCACAGCCACTGGAAATTTTTTCCCCTCTTTGATATAAATTAAATTTAAATTTGAACAAGAGAATGACTTCCAGAATACTTGGATAAGTATATTTCATTTTGATCAAAGGGAGCCGGGAGAGGGGGCTACAAACCTTCCACCGAAAATTTTTCACCTTTGATTTAAATTAAATTTAAACAAGGTAATGTCTCCTATCCAAAACATAAAAGGAAGAAACCAGAAGATGGAGGTCACATCAGCATGATCATCAAATAATATTGAAATGTATGATTTTCTGCAAAACTTATAATAAAAATCAATCATCTTACAGGTGCAGGTAATTCAGTTACTTTATATATACTGAAATACTACTAAAGAGTAAATTTATTTAAAAAAAAAGAAAAAAAAAAAAAAAAAAAGAAGAAACACCATTGGGCTACAGACAATTCCAGAATCTACTGTAACTCTTCTGGACAGTCTCCTTGTTGAAGTTGGTGATTGCTGCAATAATCCTTGCCTTCAGTTCATCTTAGGTGTTACAAGGAGTTTTGTTGGTCCCTCTCGCTCAACTGTACCCCACACATAATTAATAGGGTTGCAGCCAATTGAGCCAGGGTAGGACTACCTCCTCAAGGCAGTTGACATAAGTCTCTGTGTTGATTTTGAAGCCCTCACCAACAAATTTGGGAGTTCTTTTCTTATCAGAACAATCAGACTGAGTTTTCCGAGTTGCCGTACTTTCATAATCACCATTAGACTCATCCAACTATTTGAATCCTCTGCACTGTTCTCAGATTGCCACCCAAACACTCTGAAATGTTTGTATCTGAGCTTCTGGCATGAATACTAAAGCAGTAAGTCATGCTGTTTCCAAATTTCTGGAGGACTGAATTGCACCATGGTGCTCTTTTTCTCACAGATGGTGCCCAACTGTCCCTACTATACTGTGCAGTCAACAGAATCAAAAACAAACATGCATGCATGCACAAAATGAAAAATATAAAATGGCGACAATTTACCCATTGCAACCTGTATTTGTATATATGTAACTGCATACAGATCCCCACCATATAAATAAATGAACTACTCCACTATCATAACAGTATGATATAAATACCAATATTTAAATTTTTCAAGCCTCTGACAACTGCAATGTGCATGAAACTCAGTTGTGCTATCAGTGCAAAACAAAATTATTTGTTTTGTGTGTGTGTGTATATATATATATATATATATATATATATATATATATATATATATATATATATATATATATATATATACACACACATATATATAAAGGAAAATAAGAGTGAAAATATACAAAGAAAAAGGAAAGTGTACACAATTAAGTCTTTCATGGAAAAATTATGAAAGAACATCTTTTTGGTGAGAATGTTAGTGATGACAGGAAAATAGAGATATAAAAAAAAAAATCACTTATAAAGGAACAGATAACAAATAGAGAACAGCTCTAAGTCTATATTAATTGCAAAATGGCAATTTACTCATCTGCCCTACCCTCACCTACCAAATGTGCTTTTCCACTATAGGTGATTAACAATCAACAGAACCATATAAAAGAAAAATAGAAAACAACTAGATTTTATATATAAATCAAAGTTTAGATTGAAACAAACATGTAAGAAATCAGTGGAGATTGTTAAATTCAGACTGAAACCAATACAATTTTTAATTTGGAAAGAAAGCCCCAAAAGTAGAATGGTATGTAAAAAAAAAAAAAAAAAAAAAAAATCCAATTATCTAAAGTTGACAAGAAAAAATATTTTGCAGAGCTTCCTTAGCAAATGAAGAAACATTAACACTAAACATCTTACTTTTCCTTTTATACATATATACATACACACAGGGCAGAGGAAGCTTGACAAGTGTCAACAATTTCCAGAATTTGTAAGCAACTAAAGATGAAGATATTTTTTTTTTAAATATTACAACTGGGCTTTAACAAGAGAGTGTCTTTCTCTCTCTCTTTTTTTTTTTTTTTTTTTTTTAATGACTATTTACTCATTTTACAATTTATGCCAACTGTGAATACCAGTAATGAGAGAGAAGGAGAGAGCTTTTCAGCATCAGTTTTTGATAAAGAAATTGAAGCTAAATTCCTTTCAATTAAGAGCTAAATAATTCAGGCAAGTTTATTTCTGTAATTGGCTAATGCTAATTTATTTAATTCTTATTAGAATATCTACCATATTTTATTGCTTTCTTGACTTATTTCTTGTATAAAACTAAAAAAAGTGGTGGATAAAAGTCATTTAATACAGAGATTAAATTCTATTCTAACTTATCTTTTCATTTTTTTTACTGTCTACTTTTCTAAAATCAATATGTCATTTCATGCAATTAACTCTTCAATTATTTACAAAGCAACATTTAACAGTAATATCTTATTGTACAAGTTGGATTTGCATTCACACTAAGATAGACAATTAGACCTGGCACACTACTTTAATACATTTTTTTTAGTACTAAAATCAAGTAGAAATTGAACAAAGGAAACAGATTTTTCATTTCTTTCCCCCCTGCTTACAAACAATTTTATGAAATACCAACAAACTATCTTATACTCACATTAAATTGACCATCAAAATGGGAAAGGATAACTAGCAGGCAAATGAACCTATACCATGTTGTACCTCCAGGTGTTTGAAAGTATCAGTGACAAAAGACAGTCACATAGGTAAGAGAACACTTATTTGGATACTGGGCTTCATGACAAGTTTCTTCTAAGGAAGAAATGCATGCTATCAAAGGAGCAGCAGATAGCAATAACAGATTATCTCACATTTTCTATGTACATTCTATTAGCTTAGCTTAAAAAGAAAACAAGTGTGTTTTTGATGAAACTATATGGTTGACAAGATGAACAAACAATGTGCTGATTAAATGGTCAGTTTCCTGCAGTTTTACCCAGCCACCCAATCAAAGTGCCAAATCATTCACATATGCTCTTCATTATATTAGTAGCATTATGCAAAGGGTAACATTTACATAACTGGGAAACAATATCCATTTGTTGTATTAATAGCAATAGGAGGGTAATTTTAAAAAAATTAAAAATAGTGTTTTTGTTTTAATTTAGTGTAATAGTCAGGTCAAGAGCATTCAACTAGTATATTGAATAATAAAATGTAGGTAAAGTTTGACAAATTCTAATTTCTGGATAATTTAAAAAACAATGAATACAGAAAATTATTCTATATATCAGTACAAAAAGAGTACCAAAATACTGTTATGTACTAAAGACACTAAATATGGAGAGAAAAAAAAACAAAGGAGATTAAAATATTGCAGTTATTGATGGTAATGTCTACTTAAAAAGAAACAAAAAATTATGGTGCATGAACAGCTATCTACTTCAGTTATAGGTTAAATAGCAAAGCTGACTAGACTATCTTGCCTTGAGATGACAATCAGTCTATCTTGCCCCAAACACACCACTACTGCTATAACTGCAGTATATGTCATGCCCCTACGATGCTAATGGTTGACTGGACTCATAAAAATATATATCAGAGGCACAAGTTATTACATCTCAAATAACTGACAAAGCAAGCAATATCAACAACTTTAAATTGTTTCAATTGTTGTTTATATGATTATGATTTCTTGGTAGAAATTATCAACTAATAGCTCAAATTGCTTGATGAAGGATATAACAATTTATTCCTTAGTTAAATAAACTTAATTTTAAGATAATTAAATGAATTAAGTAATAATACATCTTGAAAAAAAAGAAACAAATATAAGAGAAAAACATTAATTGAACAGTAAAAAAATTCTTAAGCATTGAGTTTTTAAATTTTGGACAATAGCAACAGTATAGTTATTAAAAAAAAAAAAAAAAAAAAAAAGAAAAAGACAATGACTACCACTCACATAAAAAATGGCTGCATTTACTGATGTCCAAAAGATTTTGACATTAGCAAAATCCAAGATTGCATGCATTTTTCTTTAAAATTGTTTTTGTCAAATAATGAGGCATATGTGCATATCCAATATTGAATCTATAGATGAAAAGAGTTATATACAAACATTTGTACCTTGTGTGTTTCTTCTCCATAGCATCTACACCAGACCGAAGTAAATGCCCACTATGGAGAGTCACAAATTTGCCACTTATATCAAGGTTTCATCCTAAACACATTACATCCCATTTCATTCCCAAAAATAGCTAGCTTCTCTGAAAACACTCCCTTTCCACAATGCAAAGTCACAAATGCAAATCATTTAAATTGTTAATAGAAAATAGAAAGTCAGACTATATTTTAATGTAAATCTATTGTCATGTGCAATAAAGCTCAACAAAAGCTCGCTATTGGAAACAATTTCATCTTTTCAATCAACAAAACTTGTTTTTACCAATTTGTTGCTCAACATCTGTTGTGCTAGAAAATTTGAACTTTATCAAATCTGAGTCCTCAGCTCTTAATAAAACTAAGAGAACCAATAAAATAATGTTAAGTCAACAGACAAAGGAATAACAAGAAAACAAGTGGCATTCAAATACAAGGGAGAGTTAATGGGTGGAGAATATCACACATTTGAAAATCATAATATTCTTAATAGAAATTTTAACATTACAAATGATCTTTTCTTACATTTGTGTGCTCTAATAATTAAGTTTAAAACGTTAGTCTAAGGAAAAAGTTTATACTAAATAGTAGAATGAAATTTAAAAATAAGCACTGAAAGGCACAGGCTTAAATCACATTGATATCCATGATTTATTAAAATAAATCTAGTTTCAAAGCCAGAACATAGAAAAGATTGTAGTTTAGGATAACATCTGGTAGACATAAATAGTAAATCATTACTCATATGCACACCAAGTCTTTACTTTAGTTATATAACTATCAATCCTTCACCACCATCTCAAACACTAGTAAAAATAATTCAGAATTCTAATTTTCAAGCCAAGTAAATAGGTCTTCATCAAGATTAATATAACAATTTTTCTACTGCCATTTGGTTTTTGTACAAATCTAAACTAAGCTTGCTATCTATATGTATAATCAAACAATAAAGAAAAATATTTATTAAATATATCAAGCAAATAAATTTCCTTTAAACAATAATTTTTAATAAATTTTCTCTTGATAAAGTCAATAATTCATATTTATATTGTAAACATTTTTATGCAAAGAGACTTAAGCTTTCAGCTCCATCAATAAATGACAAAATTATCCTTGAAAACTAATGCCTGAAACATACTTGATAATCTTAAAACAGTTTACAAATTGCTTTAAATTACTACATCCAAGTCTTAAAATTATGTATAAAAGTGCATATTTAAGAAAACAAAACCAAAAATGCTACAAATCAAAATTGCGGAATAGTTTTACACTTTTATCAACCAGTATTACTTTCTTCCAATTCCAAAAGCATTTGAATATGTTCTTTCTGAAATTTTATACAATACATAATTGTTACAAAGCTCTCATAAAGCCAAGATGTACCTAGTTTTAAATACTCATTTTCATATGATTTTTAAGTATCATAATATATAAGAAAGCAATTGAAATATTCTTAAATACAACAGTTAAAAATAAAATTTATCAAAAAAGATAAAAGCCTAATTTGATGAGCTACTTTTGAAATATTTTGCACAACAAAATTTAGTTTACTTTTTTGTGTTTTTATAATGCAATTTAAAAATGGAGATCAGAATTAATCACAATCTGTTAGAATATCAAGGCCAAACAGTAAATATCAAAGCCACAATTCAGGAGAAAAAAAATGGAAATAATTCTAGTAGTTGCATTCCTTCATTTTCCATTTTAATTCAGTTTCAAATAAGCAAGCACTGCTTTCTGAAAATCAATATTAGAATGTACTAACACAGAGTAAATGATACTAAGCAATATTATCTCTACTGGTATCTGATATCCAAATAAATTGATAATCATGACATTGTTACCTCTAAAATGTCTGCCATTCTTATATTGTAACCTAATCTTTTAAATCAACTTCTGCAGTTTAAAAGATATTGTTTCTCAAAAAATTCAAATTTGTCAAGCAATTAGGGGGTTTTCATTTCTTCCATATATTTTGTCAATCTTCAAGACTGATAATGTACAGTCATTCTTTATTTTTACTCCCTCCTAAAATGCGAAAGTCTCCAATGTCTATGTTGTAAGCGAAAAATAGACATTGCTTTGAGAACTTGTTTGAATAAGGATGAATCACAATTGCGGCTGACAGCAAAATGTCAATCCTAATTGACCAGCAATAACTAAAAAATGTGCAAGTAAAAATAGAGCAAACTCGAACAGACCGAAATAAAATAAGATTAAAATGACTAAGTTGTATTTTTTTTTTAATTCAGTACATTCATTTTTCTAGCTATGCTGGAACTTAATAGATTCATAGTCTCAACTATTATATATGCTTTTCTATTCAGTTGGGTATAATCATCTTGTCTGCTACACTAATAACATTTCAGCCATTTTACCCTCTCAGAATATTAGTCTAAATGAAAATGCAAATAATAATTTGTCATCTCAAAATTTCCAACATAAATTTAGAAACTAGTCAAACACTGACAGGCTGGGGAAGAGAGATGAAGTACTTCCCAAAAGATTTTGCCAGTTCTGCTTACAACAACCAATAAGGAAAAAAAAAAAAAAAAAAAAAAACTCTCAGAGGTAATTTTATCACACTATTTAGAGCCAAGTATATTACTCATCAGTTTACCTTAGTAAGTACATACAAATATCAGTTGATATTGATATTTTGGAGTATTTGCAATACATACATTAAGATTCAACATTTTTTTTTTCTAAAGTTTGAGTAACTATGATTAAGTACTAGTTTCTTGTAAATACATTAACATTGAATGAATGAAAAGTTGTTTGATTTTTTTAAAAAATTTCCATTGTTTGCTTTTAATCAAAGAAAAGGCCAAAATGATAATCATCTGGAATGCATTCTAATTCTGATTATTCTAAAATTACAGTTAAACCTTTTTTCTATGAAATCTATTATTCTTTGTACAGGTTTTCTTTTTTTTTTTCCCATGGTTAGAATAAAGTAATGAACTGTTACATGATATCTGTCCTCCTGTATGGCAGCAAATGCTGGACAAAGATAAGAGACTTATGTGGTTCTACTGAAAGATGCTCAGGATACCAAGGGTCAAACATGTGAGCAACAACAATGTTTTGGAGAGAATGGAAACAAAAAAGAAACTTATACTTAGCAAGAGGCAGTTGAAATTTCTGGGGTATGTAATGAGGAAAGAGGGCTTGGAAAAATCTGATATTTATAGGACAGACTGAGGGACAGCAGAAATCAGTGTATAAACACACTTGATAGGCTTGAGCTGATGAATAGCAGAACAGGATTTGGGAGAAATAACAAAGAGACAAAACTTATTAAGAGCCACAAGGGTCAGGAAGATGTGGTGGTGGTGGGGGGGGGGGGCATGATCGCCTATGTCCTGAAGGGTCATAGTACATAAAAGAAGGAAGAATACCAATAAAAATGGAAATAATCACTAGAAAACATTTGTGCCTTTATATTAGTTTACAAAAGTCATCTAGATAAAACTTAACTGGCTTTGAGCCCAACTCTCTAAAGTAGATGTATTTGAAATTTTTATTGTCAAATATGAATGCTCCATTTATGGATAGAAATTTTAAAAAATTGTTTTAGAGAACTTACCAATGGAAAAATTAATAAATCTTAAAAGGAAAACTAATTTGGCAACATTGTTAAAATAGTGATTAATTTCTAATTAAAATACTTTTGTATTTTGTTTTAATAGAAGAAGCAGATTATTCAGCTTTGGCTCCTTCCAAATAGATACTAGTTTCATGTATGTATGTATAGCTAACCACTCGTATTCAAAGATACCCATCTACTAGGGTGGCTAGCCAAATCCCTATTGCAGACGCTTGCTCAGGCTCATTTGGGTTTATTCAACACCCACAAAGCCCACCTGTGGTTTATACTGCAACTATGCTGAGCAGGCCTTAGTTACAATTTCTGGGAAAGAGCATGTTATCTAGCATGATCAACAATTTGAACAAGGCCAGTACACTCAAGACTATTAGTCATACTATTAGTTGTATTAATTTTGATAAAGGAGTTGAAACAAAGAGGTGAACATATGAGACACATAAAATTAAACATTAAAAGAAAAAAACAGCAGTAATTTCATTCAAATGCAAGAAACACAAGTAAATATGATTGGAAAGGATAGAAGAAACACCAAAAATATCTAATAGTCAAAACCTTTTTGATAAATCCAATCAATATAGACAAAAGAATAGGGAAGATCATTTATGATTTTCTTTTAGACAAATATACTAACTTCCCACTAATATTTCAGGGTTTCCAGTTTTTTTACATTTTCAACAAATGGGAGAAAATTTTATATTTTAAACAAGTTTGAATTTGCTCAAAATATTAATTTATATTCTTAAACATTTAAAATAAAGTTGTTTAAACAAACACAAAATTTTTATCATGTACTTGACTGTATGAAGAAATTTTTTAAAACAAAATTACCATATTAAAGTAATGTTAAATAATTCATTACATTTGACCTAAATAATTACTTTAAAGAAATTGAAAAATAAACTATGAAAATGTATAACAAGTTACATTCAGTATTACTTTTGAGTTGGAGATGATGCAAGTAGTGGTAAAAGTTGGCAAATAAGTGTTTTGGTAATTAACATTTTCAATTAGGAAAGTATTAAATGTTTTGTAACTTATGTTTTTTTTTTTTAATCATTTCACCCCAAGCAAGGCAGGAATGTCATTGGTACACAGGAGGTTACAGAGAGTGAAGGTGAGAGAAAAGACTGGATTGAGGGAGGATGCAAAGAAAGGATAAAAGCTGAATGAGGCCCAAGAAGATAGCGATTGACATTGCATTTAAATTTTTGAAGATTGTAGTTA